ATATTCACTGTATATAATATCTTTCACTTACCATGGCACTGGATTATCCTTTGAATTCCTGCAACCTGTTCCAGTGTATCTATGTTCTGAGTGTAATTGCGAAGGAGTTTTCTTTCTTTATCCATTAAAGCGATAAATTTATGACAAAGAGATGGCTGAAACTGCCCAGGATATATTTCCTGCAATAGAACGCAAACAAGATTTTGTCAATAAATTCTACAATTGTTACATCTCAGTGTTTAAAATCCAACCACATATACAATTTTAACAATAAAGACTGCTACTGAAAAAACTGAGGAGCAAATACAATTTTGCTTGCTGTTTACATATCTACTAGTTGGTAAGGGAAATGAATTGTTGCAGGGGGCATACTTTGGAAATCATGTCTTGATTTCCATGTCATACTTTGGAAATCTAGGTACTGGGAACAGATTAGTGGAAAAGCAATCCTGCACATTTAATAGGGCTTACCTCTGAGTAGGTATAAATAAGATGGCACAGTACAAAATCTGAACCTCAAAATTTCAACAAATATTGGTTAATTTCACAAACTTGAAATAATATTACTGAAAGACAACAGGATCCTCCCCACAAAAATTACTGACCTGTGAGCATACTATACATTACAACTTAATTGTAAAAAATTGTGCCTTAACATTCCAAATTCCACAAATGTTGATTGGGAAGAACAGAAAACTGTTGTACCTACTCTGCTAAAGCCAAAAATAGTCCAGAACACAGCCCATATTAGCACTAAATATGTGTATAGTATCTGCATCAAAACTGCTTGTAATGGCATTGTTTTTGGACCTAGGAAGTGTGCCTAGGAAGGTCACAACCCCAGCCCCCGTAACAACACCCCCTCAAATATACAGACAGCACCCTCTCCCCTAGGGTTTTGAAAAGCTCTGAAAACCTGGTTTTGGTCTCAGGCTGGGGGTTATTGTGTTGGGGGGGGTGTCATGCTTTGTTTCAATGGTTGTTTTTAGTCTGGGCCGCCTTGTTTTATCTTTGCTTTTAATAGTTTTAATTTAGTATATTTTGTAAGCTGTCCAGAATCCACTAGAGCATGTAGCTATAATAAATTTAATGAAATAAATAGCTTGTTACCACAATTATATCCTAAATTGTCTATCACTTAACTTTAGTGATGACCCCTGAGTCATGCATTATGCTGGGGAGAAAACTATACTCTTTCCTAAATATAAGTAATTTTGGCTATCACTGTCCTTATTCACCCTGAACCTCAATTTGAGGTTGATTGTGTGTGTGTGTGTGTGTTTGTGCAAATAGTAAGGTCCACTCCATAAAATACATGCAGTGTTAAACTAGTAGACTTCTCCCTTGTCTCCTCCCTATGTCTCATGTTTGTTCCAAACCCTCTCCCCATCCAGGGCAGCTTTAAAGGCATGCAGATATATAAGGAAACCCCCCCCAATTCTGCTCATGGATCTATTCCACCAGGACTTCACCGGATCTCTCCCAATGTGACCTAAACGGGGTTTTCAAACAAAAGAGGAAGGAATTACCCTAGATTTACATTTACAAAGTCTATAGGAAGTTTATAAGTGATTATCTTCCAAAGATTAAAAAACCGAGAGAGAAATAGCACCTTTGCAAATTTAAAAAATGGCCTTGGATCTTTTCTGAAGTATTCTATGTCAAACATTGCTTGAGGATCAGGAAGATCTGGGAAATCAACTGCTAGGCGCGCATATATACCATCTCTTGATCGGAAGTCAGGAATACCACAAGAAACAGATACCTGAAATGGATAGCAAAATATTGGATTTATAGCTGATATCTGCTAATATTATTGCAATTATCAAAGATTCTCTTATCAAGAATGACCTGTAACATATAACTTTTAGCTGATATACTGAAAAACTACATGTGAGGAAATTCTAATTGCAAAAGGAACATTGTATTTCTTCACTTCTACCTGAAAAAATTCCCATGTGAGGAAATTCTAATGTAACCACAGCCACAGCACTTAAGAGAATCATGCACATTAGAATTGCAAAGAAAAGTAATAATACTTGCTTTACTTTATTGATGGCATTTCCATTCCACAAAAATGCAAACAGGCAGCCTGATTCTATTAAGCAATAGTAGCTATAACATATGATGCTGTGCCATGTTTCCTGAAACTCAGCCAAATAATGATGCTACCGTATGTACTCATAGATAAGCAGAGAATATTAGGTGCCAAAATACACCCCAAAAATTGGGTTTGGCTTATCTGTGGATGGGCTTATTTGTGAGTACATACGACAATATTTTTTAAAAGTACCCATACAGGTAGTCCTCAACTTATGACCATTTGTTTAATGACTGTTTGAAGTTACGAAGGCACTGAAAAAGTGACCTATGGCTGGTCCTTGCATGACTGTCACAGCATCCCCGTGGTCACGTGAAAAAAATCCAGGCACTTGGCAAACAGCATGTATTTATGATGGCTGCAGTGTCCTGGGTCACATGATTCCCATTTGCGACCTTCCCAGGGGGCTTCCAACAAGCAAATCAATGGGAGAAGCCGGATTCGCTTAATGACCAGGGCAAAAAAAGGTCGTAAAATCAGGCGTAACTCACTTAACAACTGCACTGCTTAGCAATGGAAGTTCCAGTCCCAACTGAGGTTGTAAGTCAAGACTACCTGTATTTCCCAAATATACTTGTGAATAAACCCATCTGCAGATAAGCCAACCCTCAAATTTTTAACAAAAATACTATGGAAAACGTGGGTCAGCTTATCCACAGATAGGCTTATATGCGAATATATATAGTACTTTTTTCAGATCATGGTGATGCACTTTTTCTTACTTACCTCAAGTCACCAGTAAATGACTTGAGCCAGAACACCAAAGGCTGCTGCCACTTCAAAAAGTTACATGGTTTAGCAATTTGGTGCCTTTCAGATGTTTGAACTTCTACCAGTCCCAATCAGCATAACCAATGGCAAGAAATTAAAAAATCTTGAGGGCCCCAAGTTGCCTCTTCCTGTCTAAAAATGATTATAACTTTGGCTTCACCCTTACAGCCTGTTGCTGGCATTCAGAAAGGGAAAAAAATTACTTCGTTTACAGAATTGTTCGTGCAAGTAAAATATGCACGCTTAAGTATTTGCAGGATTGATGCTTTCATCAAAATGACAAAATGTACGCTGCACCATAAGCTCCGCTGTTTTATTATGTGGAATCACAATGTACATATTAAAGCACAGAATTTGTGACATGGTGCTCATTTCATTTATCCCCCCTTCCTCCACCGATACCTCTACATGTATGGTTTTAAACATTAATACATTTGCTACAGTATTGTTATTTATCAACTAAGTTCCATGATATTACATTTGCTTATGCATGTTGGGAACACAGAATATAAATATTTTCACAAGAATGAGCTTCAAGGCATAAAAATATCAGATTTTGGTCATATATATTACTCCACAGTGAAAGATTTTCTCAGGAGTAACAAACAATTACATGTCACAGAAGAATCATTCACACAACACTGATACTAGCATCAGCAGATTAAAGCATCAAGTTATGATTTTTTCTATTTGTTAATAAATACATACCCCAGCTCCAGTCAATACAATTATTTTTTTGCACTCTTGCAGGAGTTTCACAGCATCCTCTATAGTATTAATATCTTTTCTCTTTTTCCTTTTAGGTGGTTCTGAGAGAATATTAACAACAATTTGCCATAAAGTCATATTATCCAGTTCAGGAGGAGGAATTGTTTCTGGTAATAGGTCTTTCAGAATTGCACGTGGATCTGTGCCTATCATGAGATGTTGTTGGACAAAGGTGTATGGACCTATTATGAAAAATAAAATAATTATGATCTAAGACAGTATAGTCAGATTAAATGAGAAAATTGTGCAGTTAACAATATTTTAAGATAACATCATTTGCTGCATTTTGAACAGGAAAGCACATTGCAACGCATGGCATAAAAAGCACAGACAGTGATATTATGAGAGGGCCTTTCATTTCAGCAACCCTAAAGCTTCTTTACCTACTGACATAAGGAATCCTATCAGTACAGTCAAGAATAGCCAACACCCAGAACTGCCCTATTCAAAGCCATTCTTGCTCTGGAAGGATTTCAGTGTTCCCCTTCCCCAGTTGTCCTTTTGATAAAAAAAAAATATTCTAGGGTTTCTACTGGTTCCAATTATCAAAAGAGCTCCAGAGCCTCCCCAAATGTGTCCACAACACCCCTTTATTGTTTCTATAAGATCTGTAAAGGGACATCTGATTAAATTTCCAAGAAACTATTTTGATGCCCCTAATAAAAGTTCAACTTTTTAATTTTTTAAAAATGTGTTTTATCAGGATGGGGCCATTTATATAGCCTAGTAAGACAGAAAATCTTAAGTATATCCTTTCTTTGCCCTGACACATGTGCATCCATTTGTGTGTCAAGTAATAATTTGCAAAATAGAGGTTATGTCACAGGAGACCTAAGATTGTCTGCACTATAGCTCAGATCCAGCAGCCCACTTTAACAAGTTATTCAGTGCAAAGTTTTGACATATTACTCTGGCAGGACGCAACATTCTATATATTTTCTTGGCACTGCAATTCTTAGTATAAACTAGGGATGTGGAAAATTATACAGTGTGGAAATAAAGAGTTCCAGAGAACTCCAAAAACATTCTGTTCCTCCTCTCGACCATACTAAACATCCTTTGGATCATGTGATTCCAGGGTGGTTCAGTGTTTCCCAAGTAAATTCCATGATGTGGAAGTAGTCAATAGTGTCCCCCAACATTTGAGTTCTCCATTCCCAAATTGCCAATTTTACATGTCCCTATATTATCATGATATATACACACACACATACCATGAACCGATTTTAAAGACAGAATTATTACTCATTATCTGGTAATAAATTTATCAGTTTATTACATATTTATGTCACTGTAGTTAAATAATTTAAGTATTTCAAGAAGGAAATAATGCCTTCTTGTGGGTGGCAGCCTATCTTGAATTGCATTTTGATGTCACTTGAAATCAAAGCAGGACAGTTTTTTTTTTCCTCCAGACATCTTTTCATATGTATGCATGGAGATGAGTGTATATGAAAGCAGATGAGGGAAATAATTTTCAATACAAAACAATTGAGAAGCTTCTTCATTTATAAAAAGAATCAAAGAACTAAGTATATTATACATTTCTGCTCTCAACTTCTAATCATGGATTTAAAGTGCCAGAGAAAGTGTCACTAAGAACACTACACTTCCATACTTCTGTGAAGGCAGCATTCTTCTATTCAGCTGCTAGCTTGAGATCAACTGCTATTAAACTCAGGTGATTGGAAATTAAACACATTTCAGAAGCAGCAAGTGGCAAACTTGTATAAAAGAAAGAAAGTATCCCAATGCCCTCAAGGTTGACAGGAAAATAAATGAAGAACTGAGGTGATTTTATAAAAAGATAATCGAGTTAGCTTAGATTAACAACTAAATTTTACCTATGCGTGGCCTTGGAGTCCAATCACTGGAACTTGCATGAGAGGCTCTATCATCTTCATCACTTTCGCAAGAATGGAAGCCATTTGCAATAATTTCATCACTAAAAAATGTATTATCTGTAAAACAACATTAAAGAAACAGTAACAGTTATTGTATAAAAGTAGTGCCATCATATTTGTAATGTACTATATTATTTTACACTGCACTGATATGGAACAACTGAAAATATTCTTGGGGGTATGGTTCATATGATAGTATTAGGCAGATAAAAACAGTAAATGTAAGTTTTAATCTGTACAGAAACAAAATGTATCATCAATTTAGTTTTAATTTCTGATCTTCAACTAATGGAAAAAGTGCAATTGAGGAAAACATGGTTTTTAAAATATTTTCTATGAGCTCTCCCAAAATCTTCTACACCTTTACTTAAGTGCAGCTTAAATTTCTGCTTATTGGATAGCAATTACATGTACAAGAAGTGAAAGAGAAACAAATTTCCAGTGCAACTTCTTATACAATTATCAATCTTTATTACAAACTATAAGTGTTGAAAATGAATCCCAAGCAGGTATAACATTAGGTCTGTATGAATATATTACATAAATTCTCCAAAATGTGTTGTCAAAAATCATCTAATGATGCCAATATACTTTTCAATCTTTTAAACTATCCCTAGCAATTCTTATTTGCTTTCAGAAAAACATTTTCTCCCTAATTTCAAAAAAAGCTTTATTTGTTGCTTTCAAAATTCACCCACTATTCAAATGTATTCATAGGTTTAAATTCACCAAGGTCACAACTCTGTGTATATTTGCTTAAAAGTATATTCCAATTATGTAATAGGATTGGCTTTCAAGCAAACATTCAAAGAACAGGGTAGCCAAGCAGTTGTCCTGTCCTATATGCTTGCATATTACTTATCTATGCAGAAGTGATACTGAACTGATTTACCGTTCTGACAAATATAGCATTGCAATTTAAAATTAAACAATTACTGTCTAAGCCAGTCCATTTTGTTAATGGGAAAACTATTAACTTTCTTTCTACTACTCTACAAATTAAGTATCTTCTTAGGATTAAACCAATTTTTATTAAAAAAAAAAACTTGCCCTACAGAAGTTCACATCTTTGGACTCTACACTAACAGCTTCGTAACGATGGGCATTTTCTGGATGTATCTTCACGGATCACTAAAGAGAGTTAATGTCTTCCTTTGCAATCTTCAAATCCTACCCGTCTCATTAGGTAAATTCCAATGACTCCAACGAAGGTTATAACAAGTATCGCAATTAGTATAAAGATGGTGTAAATAAACAAAAATCGTTGAATTGCAAGATCAAGGATGAACATAAACTCACTCTTCAACCACGTGTACCATAAACAAGAAATTACAGGGAAAGGGAGAAGAGCCGGAGGTTGCAGGTGTCTCTAGCGGTAGCTACCAGGAAGTCCCGCCAAGCAGGAGAGGCGCTGAGTTTGGCTGGATCTCCTGCTTACCGACTTACTTTCGAGTAAGCTCGCGGCCCTGCCAGGGGCCGGGAGGGAGAGTCCCCTAAGAGAAGCGCCCGGGCCCCAGCTGAGAAGGGGGCGGCCCCGCAGCGCCCGGCGCCGAGGGCTC